GGGGTGCGGGGGGGGTTGCTCTCTGCCCCCACAGTCAGTGTTGGGGTGTTGGGGCTGGGGTGATGCAGCCTGGGGGCTAGTGGGGGGCTGCACCCCCTGAGTAGCCCCCTCAGATCTCTGGGCCTGGGGGTTTGGGCTCCTGGGGGGGATACTGGGTCCCTCTGGGGCTCTCATGGCCCTACCAGGGGTCCCAGGGTGAGGGTCCCTCCTGTGACCGAGGGGGCTGATGTGCCCTTGCATGGGGGGCACCGGCCCGTGTCCTGCCCAGGGTTTGGGGTCCACGGGGTCGAGGGGGGTGCGTGTGGGTCTCCTGGTGTGCATGACCGTGACTGCCCGGTACCGGGTGGGACCGTGGGCACCGGGGGGCCGTGGCTCAGCAGCAGCGCGCGGTGGCCGTGAGGAGGGGACCAGGACCGGACATAGCAGCTGCTCCGGGGATCCCTCTCCCGGCGGTTTCTACAGGGGACCCCGAGACAGGGCACAACTGCTGCTACCGGAGACACCGGGAGGCCCCGGCCCCGGTGCCGGTGGCTGCTCCGGGGATCCTGGGACCGCCGATCCCGGAGCCCTGCTTCCGTCCCCGCCTCGTGGCCTCCCCGGTGTCAGTCCCGGAGTCCTCTCTCCGTCCACCCTCGTGGCCTCCCCGATCCCGGAGCCCTCCCCGGTGCCGGTGCCGGGAGGAGGGGGCGTGGCCCGGCCGCCTTGGCCCCGCCCCCCGGTCCCACGTGCGCCGCCGGCGCCGCCGGGGTTAAAGCGCGGCGGAGGGATCTCCGCCCGCCCCCCCCCCCCCGACTCACCCAGCCCAAGCTGCAGATCTCGGGGGAGAGAAACGGGGGGAACAGGGGCCACAGAGCCCCCCCCAGGGTCCCGGTGATGGCTCTGGAGTGCTCAGGCCCATGGTGGGGGGCTCAGCCCCACAGCACACCCACGGTTGGAAGGCACCCCAATGCTGGGGTGCCTCATCCCCCCCCAGCTAGGAACAGCCCCCCCAGTCCAGGGGTTCACAGACAAAACAACGTTTAATTGTTCCAGTCCTGACTCCCACGGGTCCGGCACAGCCGGGAACAACACCCGCATTCAGCCCTGGCTCCCGGGGCAGGAGCAGCCCTGACGTGTCCTTGTGCGTGTGGGGGGACAGCAGCGATGGGCCGGGGGGCTCCTGGCTGGGACAGGACCCCCACCCCGCTCCCAGCCCCCCGTGAGCTCCACAGCCCGTGCAAAGTGAGGGGTCCCAAACCGCAGTGGGACTGTGTGGTCCCCCCCAAAGCCACCACCAAGGTCTGGGCAAAGGTCCTGGGGGGGGGCCTGCCTCATCCAGGGGGTCGTGCCCCACCCTGGGGGCACCACGTCAGGCAGCAGCCGGTGGATCTGCCGTGGGAATTGTCCACCCGGTCGATCTCCTCGCTGATCTTCATGAGGATCCCCTGGGTCACCTGGGGACGAGGGAACATCAGCCCCAGCCCCGCCAGGACACCGCTCCCAGCCCCGGGGGGGGGTGTCCATCTGCCCCACCTGGCTCTCCTTGGCCGAGGACTCGAGGAAAAAGGCCCCCCACGACTCCGCCAACTTCTTCCCTTCATCTGTCCTCACTTCCCTGCTGGAGACACAGCAGAGGACGGGCAGGGGGGACATGGGACCCCCAGAGCCTCCCTGACCTCTGCAGAGCCAGGTCTGCTGTGTTCCCCAGCAGCACCACGGGCATGCTGCAGGCATGGGGAGGGTGAGGGCCCTGCCCCCCTGACCCCCCCCTCCCCACGAGGGACAGCACCTACCGAGTCTTCCCCGGCTCTCGTACAGCTTGTCGTGGAGGGTCTTCACCACCTGGAAGCTGTGGGGGCAAGGGGACCTCTATGCACTTCCCCCCAGCTTGGGGGTCTCCCCCCCTCCCAGGGGACCCAGCCCCAGCCCCGGGGGTCCCTCACCTCCGCAGGGAGGTCACCGAGTACACCAGGACGTAGCCATGGGTGCCGATGATGAAGGAGTGGGGCAGGATGCTGTATTCATCCTGGGTGGTGGCAGGGGTGGCTGGGGGGGCAAGGGGGGCAACAGCCACCCCCAAGCCCCCCTGACCTGCCCCAGGGTTACCTGCCCGGCCGTGTCCACCAGCTGCAGCTGGAACTCGTCCTTGCCCACCACCACCACCTTGTTGTAGGCTGTGGGGATGGCACCAGCTTAGGGGAGCTGCCTGGGACCCCCACACCACACCCCAGGGCTCAGATCCACTTCTACCCCACTCCAGGGCCGTCTCACCCCCCCCAACACAAGGTTTTGGGGCATAACCCCCCCCAGAAGTGGGGACACGTCTGTCCTCGTCACCCGTGGCCCCACAGGGGCAGCAGGAAGGGGGATCCCGGGCGGGCAGCCCCCTGCACCCCCCCACGCATGGGACTTACTGCTCTCCACCGTGGGCTCGTAGCACTCCACGAACTTCCCCTCCACGAACTGGTGGGCCAGGGAGGTTTTACCTGGGGTGGGGGGAAACAACAGGGCTGGGGGGTCCCGGCATCACCGCAGGGCAGGGGACGCAGCTGGCTGAGGGACAGAAACCCCCCCCGGGGGCTCAAGGGCACACGAGGGGATGGAGGGTCTCGGGGAGGTGTCTAGGCTGGGCACTTGGTGCTGAGCCCCCCGGCACAGCCCCCCCCCCGTGCGAGGTAACCCCCAGCGTGGGCAGCCCCGCTCCCCGGAGGGCAGGACCCCCGATGCCGAGCCCCCCGCCCTGACCCACGGCGCGGGGGGGGCCGAGAACGAGCACTCTGCGGTGCCGGAGGGGCGGCACTGCCCGCGGCGCGGGCGGGCGCGACAAACGGCGCAATAAAAACCGCCCGCCGCGCCGGGAGGGGGCGGAGCCGCCGCCACTACACCGGCGGCCGCACGTGACCACAACACGGCCCCGCCCCGCGCTCCCATTGGCCGAACCGCGGCGGAGGGGGCGGGGCCAGCCTGCGGCGCAGGCGCGGTGCCCGCCGGGGCTCCATTCATGAAAACGGAGGGAACGGCCGCGGCCACGTGGTGACCGCGCACCTGAGCGGGGGGGGGTAAGGGGGGACTTAGTGATCCCTTCCTGTCCCCCCCAACTTGCTCCGGCCCGGGGACCCCCGGGAATGCCCGCGTCCACATCCTGATCCCCGAGATCCCCATCCCAACCTCCCCCAGCCCCAGGACCCTCAGTGCCCCAGGGATACTCCAACTCCCCGAGATGTCCGACCCCAGCCTCAGTGACCCCCAACCCCCCTGGGGATACCCCAGCCCCTCAGGATGCACAACTCCAGCCCTAGGGACCCCCATCCCCCTGGCATAGTCAACTCCAGGCCCTCTGGACCTCCATCCTAGGATTGTGCAGCCCCCACTCCCAGCCACAGCTCCACAGGGCCCGTAGAGTCTCTTTATTTCCCCGAACAATTAAATAGCAGTATTTCTTTTGGTTTTTAAACAGAAGTGGTTAAAAGCAGGCTGCCCTCCTGTCCCACGGGGTGAGCCCCACTGCCAGGGCAGGTGGGCGTGGGGGACATTTATATTATCATTTATAAATAGAAAAATAAAACTCTCAAGCAGGGCGGGTTAGCAGTTAGCACAGTTAGAGCCAGGCCTGGCACGGGATGCCTGTGCCCATGGCAGGCACCCCGTCCCCACAGCAGACACCCGGTCCAGCCACCCTGGGGACAGTCTGGGTGCCAGGGACAGACCCAGAGCTGGGGGACAGGCAGGAACTGCTGCCAAGTACTCGGTGTTGAGCTATTTTGCCACCACCCTCCCGGCTGGATTTGGCTCTGGGATGGGGTCTGGTGGTGCCTGACAGACACCAGCCCCGGCCCCAGCACAGTGGTTAATAAAGCAATAAATACCAGGGGAGCACACGGGGGTCTGGGGCACGGGGACAGGGCTGGGTGGGGGTCCAGGACACAGGGCAGGGCTGAGCCTGGTCCCTGCACCACCCCGTGACACCCCATCCCATGGATCCCACCCTATCCCATGGATCCCACCCCTACCACCCCACACCCCGGGGCAGCGCTGAGCCCAGAGCCCCCCAACCTCCCCACTTGACTGGGGGTGCCCCTTCCCTCCTCCCTGGGCCCAAGGGGTGCCCAGGGCCAGAGCCCCCTCGTTTCCAGTGCGCGGCATCACCCGCAGTGTGGTGACCGGGGGGGAAACAGGGACCCCTAAAGCTGCAGAGCCTCGTGGCCCAGCACGCCCCCGGCCAGCCGGTAGAGCAGGCGGGAGTACCAGTGCATGCCCACCTCGGGCACCGTCCCGTTGCCCGCCTGGGCGCGGGCGGGCAGCAGCGAGAGGAGCCCGTGGAAGAGGCGCAGCGGGGCGAAGGCGCGGTGGGCCCAGCGGTGGCTCTCCAGGACGGCGTAGCAGGACGCCAGCACCCCGTTGACCAGCAGGGTCCCGTGGGAGGTGAGCGGGGCGAAGACCCCCACGCCGTCCTCCCGCGAGACCCTCAGCACCCGCGCGGGGCGCAGCCCCCGCCCGCCGGCCCCGTGGGCCAGCACGGCGTCGCCGGGGCGCACGCGGCGGGCGAAGACGGGCAGGAAGGCGGCGGAGCCGTTGGCGGCCCCGCGGGCGGCGAACACCAGGTGGGACGGGGTGAGGAGCAGCCGGCGCGCCGGGCCGGCCGTCTCGATGGCCACGAAGGAGGCGCGCTGGCCCAGGTCCCGGTCGAGGAAGAGCAGCACCTCGGTGGGCACCAGGCGCCCGCCCGGCTCGGCGCCCAGCACCCAGTCGCCCCGGCGCAGGTCGGCCAGGCCCCGGCGCTCGCCGCTCTGCAGCGTCACGGTGGCGTGGCCGGGGAAGCAGCCGCCGGTGCGGACGGCCAGCGAGTTGTCTGCAAGGATGGAGAAAGGCGTGGGTGTCCCCCGCCGGCCACCTCCACCGGGCCACCACCTCCAGAGGGGAAACGGCCGCCCCCGGGTCCCCAAAGCACCCCCGGAACAAAGCTGGTATTTTCCAAAGCCCCCCCAGCCCGGTTCCTGCGGCTCCTGGGCGCTGCAGGGCCCCTTTGTCCGCCCCCGCACTGATGCCCTTTGTTCGGGGCTGGCACGGTGACATTTACGGCCACTTTCACTTTCTGTCGATTGTCACTTCTGGACTGGATGGGAACTGCTGGGGGCTGGGGGGCTGCGGGGCTGGGGGGTGTGGGGCTGGGAACTCTAGAGGGTGGGGAGCTGCATTGCTGTTCCTCTCACTGAGAGCTGAACCACGAGGGTGGCTCCATCTGGCCAAAATTCGGAGGGGAAAGTGTGGGGTTTGCCAATCTGGTGGCCGGAAAGACCGGGGCGAGCTGGGCTGGGGCCAGACATCAACTGGAGCAGGGCTGCATCACACATGCATCTGGGAAGCCAAGAGGGAGCAGAGGGGGCTGTGGGGCTGCAGGCTGGGATGCTTGTGCAGATGGCAGCCCCCCCACCCCGGTGGCAGCCCCTTCCATGTGGTACCTGCTTTGACAGAGACGTGGATGTGTGCCTTGGACTCGTAGTAGACCCAGTCGAAGCCGGCCTCCACGGCCAGGCGGGCCAGCATGCCGTACTTGTGGCGGTCCCGGTCGGACGTGGTGATGTCCAGCGCCCGGCCCTCGTAGTGCAGGGAGTCAGGGAGGTGGTGCCCGTCCTCGTCCCAGCCCTCAGTCACCCGCAGCTTCACCCCCGGCCACATGTTCATCACCGCGATGGCCAGAGAGTTCACCCGCTCCTTGCAGCGCTGGGGGGGGGACACCAGCCCTGGTGTCACCCCCAGCACCTCCACAGCACCCAACACCTCCACAGCACCCCCACAGCACCCAACACCCCCACAGCACCCAGCACCCCCACAGCACCCAGCACCCCCTCACAGGGACAGAGAGACGCTGGGCCTTGGAGGGAGCTCAGAGGGGCCGCTGGTGGGGACAGATGGGGTGTTGTCCCCCCCGGGGCATAGAGAGGGTCATGGCCAAGCTGCCCTCCCCAACCTGGGCACAGGTTGAACGTTAACGTGCCCCGGGGTCCCGTGGTGGAGCTGGGGCAGCCGGGCAGAACGGGCAGGGGACCGGGACGGGGACCGGGACCTTCCCCAGTGTCACCTTCCCCGCGGCCACGGCCGTGACTGATTAACCCGGCGGGGGGGGCTGTGGGGCAGAGCTGGGGGTGCAGCTGACCCTGAACCAGACCCGGGTCCGGGCTGAGGGGGACAGCGGGGGTTCCCGGTGGCTCCGGGATCCCTCTCCCCATCAGCAGCGACAGCACCGACACGGGGTGCAGCGGCCGGAGCTGCCCCCAGTGCCCCCCCGCGGTCGGTGAGGTCACAGCGTCCCTCGGTGCCACGGTGCCCCCCCTCTCCCCCGTCCCACAAAGCGGCTCCCGGGAGCGCGGGGCCGCGGGGGCGGGAGCGCGGGGCGCGGGCCCGGGGCGGCCGGGCCGGGGGGGCAGGAATGTGCCCGGCCCGGCCCGGCCCGGCCCGGCCACAATAGGCGCCTTCCAGCCCGGCGCTGACCTCAGGCCCCGGGAATGCCGCCGCGGCCACAAAGGGCCCTTTCAGCCGCCCGCACCCCGGGCCGGCTCCGCGCCCGCGGCTCCGCCGAGCCCCGCCGCCCCGGCCCCGCCGCCTTCTCCGCCCCGGCTCGCGGGAGCTGCCGGCGCCGCATGGACCACTCGCAGCATCCCCCGTCTCCATGGCGACCGCGGAGCCGCCCCTCGCCATGGCAACCATGAGCATCCCGACGGGGCGCAGCGCGTCCCGGGCTCCCGCCACCCCGGAACCCCATCCGGGGACACGGGGGAGAGGAGCCGCCGGTCCCCCGTGCCCGCGGTGCCGCCCCGTTAATCCCCGACGGTCCTGAATACCCAACGCGGCGGGACCGCCCCGTCCCAGGGATCCGGTGCTGCCGCGCCGCCGCCAAGGGCCGGGGAAGGGAGCAGGGGACCGGGGAGAGGCACCGGGCGGCCCCGGAGGGGACCCGGCGCCCCGGGAGGCTCCGTGTGCCCAGGAAGGGTCGGTGCCACACGGGAGGCTCTGTGAGCCCCGGGGTGGTCGGGGCGCCCCGGGGAGGGTCGGTGCCGGCTGGGGACGGTCCGTGCGCCCCTGCGAAGGTCGCTGTGCTCCCGCCCGCTCCCCCCGCCGCCCCCGGGGCCCCTGGGAGCGAGGTCGGGCCGGGCGCAGCCCCCACCTCGGTCATGAGCCGATCCGCCCCCGTGTTCTCCTCGTCCTTGAAGATGATGTCGGGGTTGTAGTTGGGCACCAGGTCCCTGAAGCGCTCCGAGCCCCGCAGCACTTTGCCCTCCGCCTTCCCGCTCGCCCCCAGCGTCTGCTCGGGCACGTTGGGCACGAACTGCTTGTAGAGCAGCGGCGAGAGCTGCCGCCGCCCCAGCCGCCGCCGCCCCACCGGGCCCCGGCCCGGGCCGCAGCCCAGCACCGGCGCGGCCAGCAGGCAGGCGGCGAGGCCGAGCAGGACGAGGGCGAGCGGCCTCCACCGGGGCATCCCGCCCGCCGGGCCCCGCTGCCTCCGCGGGCCCCGCTCAGTCGCCGGGGGCACGGGCGGCCGGGGCGGGCATGGTCCCGGTGTGGCGGCCCCGGGGCTTTTAGAGGGTCGCGGTGCCAGGGGCGGGTCGGCGCCGTTTCCTTCTCACACCCACGGTCCCGTCGTCGCTGCGGGATCCGCGGCCGCCCGGGACGACTGTTCCCCCCTCCCCGCGCCCTCCCGCCGGTGCCGCCACCCACTCGGAGCGCAGCGCCCGGGCACCGGGATGGCCCCCCCGCCGCCGATTCCGTGCCCACGGGCCCGGCACCCCCTCCCCTGGCGCTGCACCTCGGTCCCGGGGTGTCCCCGACACAGCCCGAGCCTCGGGAGAAGCCCTCGTACCGGGCACCGGCGCCGGACACCAATACTCCCCTCCGGGCACTGCCCCGGAACTGGCACAGGGTACCCGGCTCCTGGCGCTGCCCCGGGACCGGCACTGGGACCTGACCCCGCTCCCCGACCTCTCTCTCCCTTCCCGTCTGAATCCCACGCTCCAGTACCGGCTCCTCTCCCTACTCCCCGCACTGCGCTCCGGTACCGTGACCCCCCCTTATCCTGGTCCTAACGCCGCGATTCTGGTCCTGGGACCTCTCCCCTCTCCTGTCACCGCCTGTCGGGACCGGGGACCCCCCTCTCTCCCCGTCCCGATCCCACTTCTCTCACTAGCCCTGGCACCGAGGACACCCGTTATCCTAACGCTGCGCCGCCTGTATCGGCACCTGCTCCGTCCCCTTGGCACAGCCCTGCTCCCGAGCTCCCTGGCGATCCCCCGGTCCCCTCTGTTCGGTCCGACCCCCAGTCCCGGTCCCGGTCCCGGTCCCCACTCCTGGCCCAGTCCCCGGTACCGGCTGCCCTGGGTACCGGTCGGCACCGTGCGCCGCCCGCAGCCGCCCCGGCCGGGCTGCCCCCACCGCGGCCGCTCGGCTCCGGCGCTGGGCAGCCCCGTCGGGCCCCGCCTCGGACCCGGCCCCCGGGAGCGGCGGCAGCGGCGGCCACATCCCCCGGGGCCGCCCCCGCCGGGCTGCCCTGCCCCGGCCCCTCCGCGCCCCGGCACCGGGGCACCCCGGCACCGGGACCGGGCTCCGGCGGCGATGGAGGCACCCCCGAGGCCGGGACCGGGCTGCTCCAGGGCTGCCACCGGGCTCCAACGGGCACACCGGCGCCTCCAGGAACGGGACACTCCCGGGACCGAGCTCCCCCCGGGGCTGGGGCTGTGTCCCCCTCCCAGCACCCCCAGAGCTCCCAGCGAAGCACCCAAGGGTGCCGGGGGCCTCGGAGAGGGTAGGAGGCAGCAGCGGGGCGGTGGAGCGTTGGAAGCGGGTCGAGGGGGTCCCGGCCCCCCCCCGCAGTCCCCCCGCAGCCCCGGTGCCAGCCCGGGGTGACTGGGAGGGGAGCAGATTGCGGGGAAATCGCGGGCACCGATGGCCTCATTTCCTGCAATATAAACCAGGTTTCCTGCGCTTCCTGCTCGGCCCCAGCCGGGGGGGGGGCGAGGGGGGGCCCGGGCCCCCCACCCCTGCCTGGGGGGGTCGGCCTGGCTCGGCCCCAGCCGGGGCAGGATGGGTGGGGGGCCGGCTCTCAGGGCAGTTTCCGCTCGGGCTGCACGACCCCCCCATCTCAGGGGCTGGAA